AGCAGGCACGGCGGAACTATGCGCGATCATGGCTCGCGAAATGTCATTTCCAAATGCAAACAATGCTCTTCACTGTCCCAATGTAGTGCTGTCTTACTTAATTCAACTCTTACACGCTTATTAAAACAATTAAAACGATTTCTCACTACCACTGCTAGTGGATTCTTTTCGGCTTCTGGTTGGCCAAAAGTGCATACCAAGCCCTCTTTCTGCGTCTGGAGCACACCCTGGCTCTGCCCACGCCTCCCATTGACGAAACTCTCTGTATAGACCTTTCCATCGCTTATCGCCCAGGCGAAAAATGTCGAGTCACTGGACTGTTACGCAGGCGCGGCGTACGATTTTTCGCAAGAGGCGCTATTGCGCGTGCTCAGAAGGCGTTTAACAGTCCAGTAAGAAAAGATGGCAGCTCGCAGAAGGCGTTTGTTGGAAAGGTCTATACACACGGCTCTGGTTTTCGGCAAAGCATTAAAGAATGGGAATGCAGTACTCTGAAACAGTAGTCAGTGACACCAACTTGAACCATACTGCTGCAGTTAGACTGCCCCCTCTACACAAATTAGTTGTGATAAGTATGTTCGATCAGTCCCCCCAGGCGTAATCGGAAGGGGGCACTCCCACACGATCCTCGCTGAGCGAAGATCTATTCTTTGAAGTAGGTGGTCTCTCATCTGGTCCTCTAGCACTGTTGCGCGAGAGAATGGAAAAATGTTGCCACTGGGAGACTACGAAAACGATACGCGGAAGAAGTGTGGCCGCAGGATAAACAAACTATGGCAAGTAAGCAATCCAACTCGTGGGTGGTGGCTTCTGGTTTTCGGATTTCTGGTTTCGGCTTGAAAGCTACACACCCTTCTTTATTCTGAGCAGCTAGGATGCCATGGGCAGCAAGTCTTTGATGCGCGACTAGAAGTTGCATAGAAGTGATGACAAAACATGTACAGCCACATGGCAAACACCATGTTGGTGCGCATTTGGTGTTGTAAGACTGCGTCGGATTGGCTCGACCGGTAATCCGCAATCACCGAAGGCCACTTACCGGTCCGACTGCGCATCGGTATCCTGCTTTTCGCAGTCGGCGCTCCTTTGAGCTGCAGCGTCGGAAAAGCGCCCTTTTTTCAGTCGGGGCTTGGCCTTTTTTATCTACCAGGTCGTCTGGAAAATGCCTAAACACACCCCGGTGGAATCGAGCGATCCCTGCCGACAATCCGACAACGTCGGATTCGTAGACACCGCACTTGAAGACGCAGCAGTTCCTCATTACAGTGCCGCAGACACTGTGATGCGACGACTCCGGTGGAAAACAGCTGCTGGCTGTGGACTCTCAAGTCAACTCGCTACAAAGGTCAAACGTTTTCTGCAACCGGTTCAGGCAAAGACAAAGCGTAGGGCAGCGGTAGACATATTCAAGAACATCAAGGGCACAACAAAGCTGACAAAGCCTTGATTCAAGGCTTTGTCTTTTTGAACCAGCGCGCGTGCGCTGCCAGGGCTGCCAGGGATTGGATTGTCGTTTCGTAAAATTTAAATATTTCAAAACTATTTCTATTTATTTTATTTTAAAAACTCTCGAAGAGACAAGCCAATGAATATTAACTTGTTTTGTAATCTGCCGAAGACGCCGATACGAGGAGGTGGAAGGCCAACACATTCCATTCAAGTTACAGTTTCGGTTTTTGTGAAATCCGTGCGCCGAGGGCTTAGTAAAGACGTGTAAATCTATTTGAGGATTTACACGTTGAAGGTTACTCAACAACATAATTCACATCGGAGTACGACCGTATGTCCCGAGATTTTATAATTTTTTGCACAGCCTCACAAGTGGGCCACGCCAGTTCAGTGCCAATGTTGGGGGAATAAAAGGTCTTACTTGAATTTGCGCTAAACAGTTTCACAACAGCGTCAAAAACACAGGTGCGGTAAACTTGAGCGGTCTCGTTTGCAGAACCCTACTTTACTTGAGGTTATCTCCGGGTTATCTCCCCTTGCCCATGGCATAGCCCAGGACGTTTTTCCCTAGCTGTATCAAACACGCGATCTACCACACCACGAGACGCACCAAGAGAATTCCACCATCATCCAGCATGAATCCCCAATCAGCATCATCCAGCATCAATCATACAATTTTGACCATTTTCCTCCCCAAGCATAGAAGAAACACAGGGAATCGGGATGGATGGGGAAAGGGGGGGGGGGGGGGGGGGGGTTCAAGAATTTTGCAGTATTCTGATAATTTACCCCCATTTTTCACCGGATTTGCCATTCTTTTTTTCAAAAACACCGCAAGATAGCTTGCTTCTAGTAATTGCAGAACCTTGATCAATGATGACATCGGCAGAAACGGGACACTGACAGGGCATTTATGCTCGCCGAGGTTTTTAGTTGTACGTGACATATGAGAGCTCAACTACCCAGAACAAAATTTGCGGCTCGAAATTCAGTTTCTTTCCGCCCGAAAACCGCCGATCAAGAACTGGCCGGTTCGAGTCTCGCTCACTCTCTTTTCCGCGGTCACGGGCCGTTTTCTAAGGTATCGATGCGACCACCAAATTTAATCAAAGTCGTGGGTCACTGAAGGCACACACTCAATATTAAAGATGGAAAAAAATATGAAACCCATTTTTTGTGGCTTCTAAAAAGCTGCAAATACGTTGATTGAAAAAAAAAGTTGCACAAACAACCGGAAGCATTCTGTGCGTGCGTCGTTTCGCGTATCGTGGGACTCGCAGGGACGGCGATGGCAGCGGACGACGGGCGTGGGACCTCTATTTCAGAACTGTCGTTCGCGGTACTGGCGAATTCTGTCTACCTTTAAAAGAGAAATTTGGGACTAATCAAAAGAATTGGTATTCATTCCGTACGACACGCCCGACCACCAAACCGATTTGCACGAAGACGTCGCCGAGCCGTCGCTCCCTTCTCGTGGCTGAAGACATCGCTCGCGCAAACGGCAAGCACGACGTGTCTACATCGAGTTGAATATGCACGCGTACGATTTCTTTACAAGGTGAGAATGTCGTCAATGCGTGGTGCATCCCGACTTCGACCCGGGAGTGCTTTTGCTAGAGGAAAATCGGCAGCAAACTTTCCAACTTACAGTTTATCGGCTGAATTGTTACTAAGGAAACAGATCCCTTACTTTCGATGTGCCCCAGTAGCTTAGTGGGAAAGACGTCCGCTTCACACGCCGTAGGACCGGGTTCGATCCTCCGTGAAACTTTTTTTTTTTTTTTTTTTCATGTTTTTTGATGTCTACATTTTTTTTTTACCATTATCACTGAAGAAACAAAAAAAAAAAAAAAAAATAAGAAACAAATGTTGTGGACGACACGTCGCCGAATTAAATGGTATGGGATTTCTTTTTTGACACCTGCGAACTCAATGTAATCACTTTCCACAAAATGCAAGGAGCATATAAATCAGGTAGCGTCCGCTTTCCGAGGTGCCCGTAAATGGTCTACAGGAATTGCAGCCAGCCATTAGTCCCGATCCCGTTGATCTTTCGGAAACTCTGTCGCACAATGCCACTTCTGTTTCGGACGCAGGACATGTGAGCCAGCTCTTCACGCAACATCTTGGGTGTATTCTTTTCGAAGCCGATCAAAATTCACCACGGGCACTCACCACTCATCTCCAACTCCTCAATGTACAATGCAACTCATCTTGGAGTACAGAACAACGAGCGGAACATACATAACTGCAAAAGAATCCCACGGCGAACAGTTTCCGTACGCCGCATGTCGTCTGCTACCGGGAAGGAGAAAAAAAAAACAAAAAACACGGTCGGGTGTAGCCACGTGACTTCCGCCACTCGCTCTCCTCTCTCCACTTCTCCGACCTCCGCCGGGTTTCGGTTTCGGTTTCGCGCAGTTGCGTCTTTTGGCTTTATTAAAAAAAATACGCTACTCTGTTGCAAAATATTAATTGGGTAAAAATATAACTATTTTTTTCTTTTTGCACATTGCAATTGTTAGCTTACTCCTTATTCCCTTCCCCATTCCCGTCCTCCGATTTGCTTTCTATTTCAGGTGTGCTATCTCGGGATATTACGGCAGATTGTTTAGGCTTCAATCTTTTTCCTATGCGGAGTGCAAGTTCGTCTGCTTCTTGCACAGGGTTGCGATGATGTCAGAATGAAAATTCTTATTGGCCGATTGAAAAAAAAAAAAAAAAATAGTGGGTAGATTTTAAGGCATCTAGCATTGAGGCCTACCCACTATCCTTCCTATCAAAGCCAATCAATCGTGGCGTCGTTCCATCGTCCCCGCAACCCCTGCGCAAGAACCAGACGACTTGCTCTCCGCATAACCCATTCGTGAAATCGGAGTATAAGTGGACCACGTAAAGACGCCCTTGTGAAGTTTCATTGCACTTAATTCGACTAAAAAGAAAAAAGAAAGAATGTCTGATAGTGCTTGGAAAGGCCCACTATTAATCGAAAGGTCAATTGATAAATTAACAGCCCTACTTTTCAATATTTTGAAACTTCGTAACTTTCAACACTTGCTCATTATTTAACAATTATAACTCATTTGACGTTTAGAAGGAGCGGAATCAAGGCTACCAATGTGAGCATCTTGCTGAAAAACTGTGCTGCAAAGAAAATAGCGAACCATGGGTGCACTCGAAAGTGTGGAGCTTGCTCTTGTCGCCGTGGCATCCTTCCCACTTACGGTGAAACAGCGCAGATGTCGTAAACCGATCGGCACACATTTTAATGTTGCACTATTACAAACACTGCCTCGTTTCAGTCACCACATTAGCTTCGGAGAGATGCATTTTGCAGGCCAAAAAACAGCATATGCCACCTCAATGCAATGGCCTGACCTCCTGTGCAATTCGGCACAGTAAAAGCACGCTAACACGCACAGAGCGGTGCCAACTTGGCGCCGATAGTTATGTGCTGGAAACAGCGCCGACCTTGCTGATGCAGCGCCGACTTTGTCCTATCTCAGCGCTGAACCAGCCTTTAAGGCCACAAGACTCAAAACCAAGTCAGGTCCACCAAAGGCCTCCAAAGAGAACGTGTATTTGTCAATTCGTCGGATGCGAAACCCCTTCAAAAAGACACACGCACACACACAAAAAAAAAAAACACTTCAAAGCTGTACAAGGTTCTAAGCTCTCTTACAAATTTACAAAGTCGTACTATCCCCCCCTTCAGAAGTTGCTTCTGCCCTTTTCACAAAAAAAAAAAAAAAAAAAATAGAAAACAACGGTTTTTGAGGTTTTTTTTTTTTTTTTTTTTTTGTACGGGCGAATAACACAAGTGTTGTCTGCACCGTCTGCTACCGTCGTAGCCACGCGTAGTTAAAAATGAGCCAGACAAAAAAAAAAAAAAAAAAAGATAAGACTAGATATAAATATTTCAGTCGTCAAAATTTCTGCCATTTCTTGGACTGTGTTCTCTCCGCCGCATCAATGGTACCGGGCTTCCGGTCGAGAAATGGAGAGAGACGAAAAAAAATATCACAATGTGGAATCTCTCTGAAACACACGCAAGTCCACACAACTCTTTTTTTTTTTTTTGTCTTCAGAGTTGCTTTCTCAGTCCAAGTCCATTTTTTCGGACTCGTCGGTTGCCTTGTGATGGACCTCTGAAGCCTCTTCGACGGTTACCTGCGGTAAACAATGAAGAAAAAACAGTTATTCGAGCCCATCATGAACTCTTACAAGCCTGTGAATCAGCTTTCCTACATGGCATGCGGAAGACCGTCATTTTGTTAACGGAAAGAGTAGCGAATGACGAAGCGCTGCTCTTTTCGACCCATTAAGGGCTGTCTAAATAGGAAATGTTTTCTGCTGTGCGCGGCTAAAAAGGCGTGCACGCTTCTAAAAGATAATAAAGTTTTCGCTGAGGACGTCAACCACGCAAAACACTGCGGCTTTCCCCCTCGCCACCTCCTGTCGTCTGCCCCTTCTTGTTTTCGAGGGGGTTGGGGGACTGAAAACAACAGCAGAGGCCATGATGACAGCCAGCAGTGAGCATGACTGGCTACATCCTGCCCTACGTAATTAGCATGCTATGAGGCTTTGTCCAAGAATGTTAGCGAAAGTTGCCTTTCCCCTGGCAAAAAAACATCCCAGAGCTGACTGGAAGCGGAGGAAAAACCTCTGCTTTGATAAAGAGAATAGGTGAAGCAAGTGCGTCCAGCAAACAAGTACAGTAAAATTTGCCGCATGTGACACCCTTCTCCGCCAATAAGGAGTTGGCGGCGAAAGGAAAAGAAAGACAAAACTCTGGCTCCACCCTTTCGTTACTCAGGTTAGCAGTACATGCTTCATTTTAACGATGCAGCGTATACCGCTTTGCTGACACAAGTACAATCTTCGGTCTTTATTCCTTTTAAATTTTTAGTGTTGCGTGAATATTCTAATTTTAGAATAGTAGTTTCGAATAATACGCTATTCGATATTCGCTTCGGGATGAACTGCGACATTCGTATTTTTCGAAGTGTCGATTACGGAAAATTAGCCTCGCTGAGCGTGTTTCTTATCGAGCACCAGTGCACTGAGGAAAAGCAACACCTGCAGAGCTCGCTTCTGCAGATGTGGCTTCTCCGTGGTGCACCGACGCTCAGTAAGAAGTGCATTCGACGGGGCAAACCTGCAGTGGTAAATGGTTTGAAAAGTACAAATATCGCAGCAGCGTGCCTAGGAGAAAAGCACTTTTAGAGTGGGATGGTGCACACACAAGCCTGGTTTATTTAAAAAGAAACTGAATGTTGACATCTACATTCCAGTAAAATTTTCAAAATTAAACTGGCTATTATGCATGGGTAAACAAACGTTAGGCAAAGATGCCCTGAAAACCTGCGTTAATCATTCGGGACTTAAGAAAATATATTTGCATATAGGAAGAATATTTACCAATCCCCTCAACTAGGTATAGCTTGGCATCTACAGATGTTTAATTTAATGTCAAATGGATCGCTTACTTGCCATCCATATGTACCCATTAAACTTTAACAGGCCAAAGTAAAAAAAAAAAAAAAAAAAAAATGGATCAAAATTAACTTGGCTTAAAAATTGACAAGTGGAAGCTTGGAAACAACCCCCAAGAGTTCAGCTGCATTTACGTTTAAGCATGGTGCAGTAGTGAAAGGCTTAGAAAAACTATTCGATGTTCGATCAAAAAATATTCGGCCAAAACCACTATTTACTTTGAGCTTGCTTCGAACTCAAAATCCAATGTTTACGCAACTAAAATTTCCACATCGGCACAATTCCTGGATTGGGCCATTTGCTAGGAAGCCCCAGCACGGCGCAACCGCATCATCCCTCCAACCAGGTATGTATAGCTCCCGCAGCAGCCGCCGCCGCAGAAATGGCTGCGCCTCGACTGCATCTGGCTCGGCACTGAAGTGCAGGTCGAAGCCAGTTCTCCAAAGCAAGCTCCAGCGGCAGCTCCCCGAACCGGGTTGTTCAAGTGACACTGGGAATATGGTGCCCGAAGCAAGCGTTCACTGTCCCACCCTGCCCACGTGTTGAACGTGGTGACAAATCGCGTCGCAGGAGCCGGCATTTCACTCAGACGGACATCGCGACCTCGGCCGCGGGGCGTCGGAGTCACAACGTTCAACTGCGGGGTCCCGACGCTGCAGCAGGCAAGGTGGGGGGAGGGGGCACTACGGGGTTCCAACGCCTCACCGCTGGGGCGTCGGGCACACCGTAATATCCCGAGCCGTCACCTACCCCACTTTTTGGGTGAATATCGACTTCAATAAAAAACACTGAGCGATTGCCCACTCAACATATTCACAAACGCAGACTCCGCGATCATTCATCCTACCCAAACGACGCGGCCACGGACTTCACAATTGGAGGACGTCCGTCACAAAGTAAAACGAAGGAGGGAAAGACTTTGTTTACGCATTTCTTCTCAGATTTCCGCGATCCCGAATTAGGTATGTGCGAAAGGAAAACGATAGATAACAAAATAAAACATTGTTTTGCTTACAACAAACTTTGTTCCAACAAAAAAAAAAGTATGGAAAGATAACACAAGTGGCAACCCATTCAGGGATCGCAAGTTTCAGCGAACCTCCCATATTCTGGAATGTAACCGCAGAGTGTAAACTCAAAGTCTGCCTCCACCGAAACAAGGTCACTGCGAATATCCTCCTTCTCCCAGAACGTCGGAAACGCGGTCAGTAAGGTTGTGCAATATTTGACACAAAGTCGATGGGTAGATGAAGATTTGTGGAAATGCCGCACACAGACGTTTGTAAAGCGTCCCATTTTAAGCTGTGTTCGTGGCATGCCATGCAACAATGTGGCCTCAACGCACATTGCGCAAGGACGCACGCATGTATGCGCCAAACAAAAACATTGCACAAGGTACTCAACTTGGCTTGATGCCAAATTAATTGCGGGGTGCGATCGCTTCCCGCTTACCCAGCATCGCTCTTCATCGCTCCTTTTGCCCGTTCGCTTGCTCGTTGCACTTGGTTGCTTTCTGTATTTTCTTGTTGACTTTTGTTTTTTACTGACGAAGAGAATATAGCGTAGTTAGAAACGTTAGAAACATGCTTTCACGGAACGTTTGCACTGTATGCTGGCTGGCGGTGTTCATCGGACGTATGCAAGCAACAGGCTTTGCGATAGTAAGACATCCTTTCATGAGCATTTCTTGCATAAAACAATGAAACTAATTCCAGTTTTGAGTTTAATGCACCTTCTGTGCAGCCACGCTAGATACGTACAGGAAAATGGGCATTCTTATAGCTTCCTAACGTTTTATGCCTACCCACCGAAGCATAACCCACCCCCTTTTTTTACGAATTTCAGATGGCAGGAGGGTGGGCAATGACTCGGGATATTGCAGTAGTCGGAACCAACTAAACAAGTGCAGAGACCCCCCCCAAACCGAACCTTCTCCTCCTCTTCCTCCTGGAACATGGAGACCACGGACTGAAGCCTCTGCATGGCCGACTCCTCGACGCTTGGCGGCGGCAGCGGCTCGAGCACCGTGAAGCCGGGACCCTTGCGAAGCGCTGTCGCCGACGGCTTCTTTGTCTGCTCGGCAAGGCCGACCTTGGCTGGTGCCAACGAGCCTTCAGTGGATGGCGAGAGCTCGGCGGACGTGGAGGCCCCTGCAGCGGGTGGCGTTGCCTCGCCGAGGCTTTGGTGCTGGCCGGTGCTGCCCACCTGCCCCGCCGCTATCTTTGCCTCGACATCCCGGCTGACGGCAAAGTGTCCGTGGGGTTCCGAACACAGTTCTAGTCGGTCGTGCGCCGCGTTGTAGGTGAACACCTGCGGGACGACGTCGCGTGTCAGCGCGGGACGCACGCTTCCGGTGAGGCTAGCACAGCAATACGTAAGGCAGGAGAGAAACGCGAAAACTTCGCCAAAACGAGTCGGATTACTGTGGTTATGAAGAGGACGAGAAAAGTAGGGCATCTCTCTGGACACCCTGCCCCCATTGTGCGCTCGTTCCTTTTTGCCAAAATGCCAGAGTGTCGTCGAAGCAACGAAGCCTGCGCTGGAAGTGGGTCGACCAAAGGACCTCTCTGCCGTTTTCATCCTGCCAGTGACTATGGTAGGATCCCCGCCTGTTCGACGGCTCGTAGAGCACACCAAGGTGGCTGATCTCCGCATGCCCTTTTGTTTTCATTACATCGGTAGGTGCCGAAAAAGTAAAGACCCGTCCCGCCCTCGCGCACGCTTGTGACTGAATCGTTGCGATTTCTTGTGATGGGAGAATGCAGTGGCAAGCCGGCGCCATCTATGAAGTGACCTTGAAACTGCATTCCACTAGAGCGAATGTTTCGCGGTATTTGAGAGATCAAAATGTATGTACTGTCTACGAGAAATGGTTGTTTATTACATCCAAACTTTTTCGAGTCAAGACGGAAAGAATGATGTGCAAGAAAAATAGGAATTATATAGTAACTGCGAGTGTTCAATGGCTGCCTCATGAACGGTATCAATGTGCTTTCGTCGCAAGAGATTTTAAGAGGTTTTGAGGGGGTAATGCAACGAAATTCCAGCATCTAGGGTGCAATCCACTTATAACGATAGTGAGAAAACCTGAAAATGCAATCGTTATAACAAATTATCATTGTATTTGGACTAAAAACTGATCGTTTCTAGTCTAAGGACTCTATAAACTGATCGTTATAAGCAGTATATCGTTATATGTGGTATAGTTACAAATGGATTGCACTCTATTCTATTGTCTAAATGTCAACCATGTTCTGGCCACACCATGAAGACAGCAATCTTTTCTCCGAAAAGACACTAAAATCTGACTTAAGGGGGGACACTACCCAGAAAAAACAATTTCTGCAAAAAAAGTTGATTTTGAAAAAATGCCATACAGTAAACATTCGTTAGTTCAACCTCGGTTGATTCGACTTTTCGTTTAATTCGATCGTGTTCAACAGTCCCGGCGAGTGCCCATACGTTTCAATGGGAGGAAAAGTTTGATCGTTCGAACTCGGGAAGACTCCGCGCCGGATAATTCGCCTCGAGCGAACGCGCGCGGGCTCACATTGTACGGCACCACGGCAAAAAGCCACCAACGTACGGCGAAACACGGGCCGTTTGCTGCAAAGCCAAACGTGCGCAAATTCGCGCCTGCTCCTCTACGCCGCTGAGATGGACCGTAGCAAATGACACGAGCCAGCGCAACCAATCTGGCGTGGAGTAGCGCGAAGAACATAGCACGCGCTCTTGAAGCCCTTTTCTGCAACATCGTGTGCGGTCCATCTTGCGCGTCGGAAAGCGCTAGTTCTCTTTTCTTTCGTTTTTTTTTTTTCTCTGTCGCCGACGGTCTGGCTGCTTGGCGCCAAAGTCAACTCGTAAAACTTAGTTTTTTTTGGTTTTTTTTTTGTAGTGGCATTTATTTGGGAACGTGAAGTTTAGTTACCCTGCTTTCCGAAGCATGCTTTTGGACATGCGTTTTAAGCGCAGAGGGCAGCAGACCATCCGTGAGTACTTTGGACAATAAAAAAAAGTTTAATTTTAACCGTTTTCTGCTCTTCGTTTTAATTCGATCGTTCGGATAATTCGACCAAATTTCAAGGTCCCGTCGAGGTCGAATTAACGCAAGTTTACTGTATATACCTCCACCAACATGTAGAGAGTATTCCCAGAAAGTTTTATTAGTTTACATTGTATAGTTAATTTTTTATAAATTATTTTAGGCTCACCGATGCTAAAGAAAAGGTAGGGGTTGGAACACTTTGAATGCATTTTTCTCTGTTCCACTTTTTGGCATTAATTTAACTTCAGGAAAACTATCATTTCCTATTAAACAATAAAGAATTATTCTTGGGTAGTTTTTTTGGGATAGAATTTTGTGAGGAACATGCCTGGCTGGTTAGTTTTTCTACTTTAACATTCTTTTATGCTAAAAAAACTACATTTGTAAAAAAGTGCAGACATGAAATTTTTGTTTAAATCTTCTTATGGAGTTATATTTATGAAACACAATGCAATATAGCAAAATAACTAGTTGAGTATGTGCTATGGGTATCCCTATGACTATATTACAAATAAAAATCACAAATTTTTATTTTATTCTAAAAAAATGTTTTTTTTTTTTTTAGCGAACACACTGACTTTCTTTCATATTGTAACATTTGTAACAAGTTTCAGAATTGACATAGGACAATGAAATTTGGCAAGGATGGGCTTGCCACTCATATAAACGTCCACTGCAATTTTGATTGAAATCAAGCAAGTGGTACAGAAGTTGACTTTTCTGGGTAGTGCCCCGCCTTAAGAGGGCGCGGTACCTCTATTTATTCGTCCGTTTCAGCCACCAGATGGCGCGCGGCTCGAAACGTGGTTGAACGCGCAACTTCTAGATGGCGCCAGTATCGAGGTGTGAAAAGGCCCGCGTTATCCGCTGCGTGAAATAGATCCCGAAATCTGCCGTGTTCTCCCGGCGGAGGAAGTTTCTGCATCCCTCGCGCGCGCTTGGTATGTACGCGCGGTGACAGAGTCCGGCCTCTGCGCTGTGTGATGCAGTGGGTGGCGCTCGTTTCTGTTCGGAGGTAGGAATAAAAATGCCGGTCCCCTTTTTTACGACGCTCGTTTCTATAGCTTGTTTTTCTTTTTTTTTAATCTCAAGTGACCTACAGTACCGCCTGTTCGAAATCGTCCTTTGCGGTGAGCGATTGAGAGTCAGGTTAGCATTTTATTTGGGTCAGCACTAAACGTTTAATGGAGACCTCGGGCGGCGATGTAAATATGCATTGCTTCCCGAAGTGTGTCCAAGGTGCGCAATGACAATTGGAAAGGGTATTGAAGGCGCGCGACCGTCGGTTGGTAAAATACGTGCGTTAGATTCACTTATTCAGTCTAATCATTTTTGCCAACGTCTTTTATCTGTTTCGACAAATGACATGGTCGAGTCTATTGATAACCTTAGCTAGATTGGACGTACGGAGTGTCCGGGCTTTAAATAAATTTGCTTCGTTTATGTGAATGAATAACTGTTTTCTCTTTTCCGTGCTCGGTGCTATGCAAAAATCGCTGAGATGTTATGGTAGCTCAGTGTGGCGGCGTTTTCCACGCTGACTCGCTATTGCATTCGCTGTGCACAATATGTGTTCAGATGGAATGTGCCAAATCGTATTTCCGATCGATATGATAGATTTACTTTGCTACAGTGTTAATTATATTTTCCTGATTTAAACTGGTTCCTCCCTGATATGAGCCTAAGTTCAAATTCGAAGGGCAGACAGACTTAGCGTCGTAACAGCCGTAATGCGCAGAAAGAAATTAGTACCATGAAAGAAAAACAAAAGGATACGAGGTGGCTCAGTGTTATAGAAGTAATGAGTGTGCAAAGGATGCCATCGTACGTGTTTTTTTGTTTTGTTTTGTTTTAACTCTCCGCATCGTTGGGAAACGCTCAAGGTACCAGCAAAGACAGCGAGCTGGCGTGAAATTTCCATCGAGCGGAAAACGAGTGTCATTTTTATTTCATCATGCGCTTTCATTTTGATATGGCTCAAAATGGGCGCGAAATAGTAACAGGTAAGGCAACAAAATTTAGATGTTAGGCCTGGAGAACCGCCATACTCAGCCGTGTTGGGGGCATCTCTCGCGAGTCAATACGGCAAAAGTATTGCGCGTCGAACTGTACGTGAGAGTTATCCATTTCAGCGAAACCTTGATTTCGCAAAACTATTGTGGCTCGAGTCGTGGCTTCCAGTACTTGGAAGCCACGAGCGAGAAATAAATGACAGTTGATTTTGAAGGACAATCGCGACGTGGAAACCCATAAAAGAGAGTTCCAATAAGACGAGAGCTTCCCCTTCTCTTCAAGTGCGTGGGTTACGCTCTCAATCCTGCACCTGTGGTAACACTGCAGGCTCCTAAAATCGCCTTGAAAACGTTCCTGCTCGCAACTTTTTTTTTTTTTTTTTTGTCGAGGCGCTATTTCATTTTTTTTTCTTTTTGTCTACCTTGATACCCCATCAGCGCAAAAACTACCATAAACCAAAAAAAAAAAAAATAGTGGCATACAACGACAACGCACCAACTGGGACCCGAGTCAAGGCAAGAACGACCAACTACTACAAGGGGAAAAAAATCATGTTCGCATACACAGACAGAACGCCTCCATCGAAAGAAATGAATCATGCGCTTGTCCTGCCAGTCTCGTTGTGTGTCTGTCAAAAGCCACAAAGGAGGAAGACAATCAGCGCCTACACCACTCCCCTCCCCTCCCCCCCTCCTCCCCCTCCCCCTCCCCCCCCCCCCCCCCCCCCCCCACCACCACCCCTAAAAAGAAGAAAAGAAAGGTTTCTTGGGCGCGCGCGCGGTCGCCCAAGCGATGACCTTGGAAGGGTATGCGATTGTAGCACGTTTGTCCCCCGGTTGTGCCCCTGTCTCAAATGCCACGGTCCGTTTCTCCCAAGTGCCCGTCTTATCTTCCCGAGTATCAACTCCGCAGTGATTCTGAATCATTCCGATGCTTTCCAACGTTGCAAAACTGTTAGACGAATATTTGCACAGAAGTATACACTGTTCGCAGAACTATCTACGGCGCTAAAATTCAAAAGCGCCGTGTTGGATTCGGGAACTCGTGTAGGTTTAGCTCATTGTTGGAACATTCTTATTCGCTCGATGAACTCCACAAAACGTGTAAGTTCCCATAAGACGAGAGCTTCCCCTTCTCTTCAAGTGCGTGGGTTACGCTCTCAATCCTGCACCTGTGGTAACACTGCAGGCTCCTAAAATCGCCTTGAAAACGTTCCTGCTCGCAACAACTTTTTTTTTTTTTTTTTGTCGAG